GTCTCTATGCGTCGTCGCTATCTCAGCCCTTGGATCTGGACCCATCCAACGGTGCAAATCACTTAAGGGTTAGGGTTTCCTAACCCTAAATGATAACCAGCTACCGCCGCCAGACGAAGTCAGCCACCAAGCCGCGTGTGCACTGCATCGCTATACTCTCGAGCCACGTGAGCCACCGTCATTGATTCCCGAGTTGTCACCGACGTTTCCCTCCTGATCTTGTCATCCACAGTGACAACAATCACACCAAATCGGTCAGGAAATAGAGAAAAATAGGATAAATTAGAAATAAGTGCAAACAAAATCCTGATGAAATCGGGTTGTGGCAGAGACCCTATCTATCTATCATAAGTCAACAAAAATATCATCAATATATCATGCAACCAGAACAGAGATAAAAAGAGGAAGTGATATTCGGGGTTTGGAAAAAAATCAGAGAGAAGAAAAAAGATTTCGAAACAAAAAAAAGAAGTAAAGAGAGAGAGGAAGGGTAAAGAATGAGGTTACCTTTTGTCATTTTTTTATCGAAGAATGAGAGATCATCGGAGGGGAACATTTCCCTAAACTTTGACTTCAGATCTACTCCAACCTGCTCCCTTTTAGGGAAAATGGGCCTTGGATTCATGTTGAGGGCTTCGAGAGGAGTGGTTTGGTATAACCATCTCTATTCTCCGTCGTCGGCAAGCGACGACCGACACGGTAGTGGCTCGCCAGAATTTGGGTATGAAAGAGCTTCGGTTGAAGCTCTTTCTCTTGCTCTCTCTTTAGGCTGAATAAGAAGGGAAAAAAATGAGGAAATGGCTCGTTTTGAGCCTTGTCTTGGCCATTTATATGGTGCGTGAAACGGTGACGTTTCGGGGGACCTAGCATGCATTTTCATGCGTGGGTTATTTACCAGATATGTCCTTTGTACTTTTTATCATTCTATTTTAATCATTAATGCAACTTTATTTTCTTCTTATTTTGATCTCTTGATTTGTATAAGTTGTAATTTAGTCATTGTTTACATTTGAATGCTTTTATGTTTTATTTAAGCCTAGGTCACAGTATTTTAGTTTATTTATACTTGAGCAGTCTATTTTCTTGGTTATTTCATTTTAGTCCTTATCTGGTTGGTTATTACATTTTTATTAATGTTCTAATTTGACCACATATTTACAAATCTTCTATTTTAGTCACTGCCTTATTTTGGTTTAATTATTACTTGGCCTTCATGTTTCTGTTTTAATGCATTTCAGTCCTAAGCTTTATTTATGGGTTATTTCACTTCTAGTACATGTATTATTTAATATTTTCGATCTTGGGAAACAATTTTAGTTATATTTATGGTTCATCCCTCGAATTTCTATTTTTGCTATTTTAGTCCTATAAGTTTTATGTTTTTATTATTTTAGTCCTTTAAATTTATGTTTTTGCTATTTTAGTCTTTTAAGTTTCTATTATTTCTATTTTAGTCCTTTAAATTTCTGTTTTTTCTATTTTAGACCTTTAAGTTTTTGTTTTTGCTATTTTAGTCCTTTAATTTCTTTTTTTGCTATTTTGGTCCTTTAAATAGAATATGATTATTTATTGTTTTTATTATTTGTAATTTGATATGTAATATTTACTTGTTATGATTGATTCTTTTTACATAGATATATATTTTATATGTTTTGTAATTATAAACAAATGAATATATTTGGCTCTATTTTACTGTAAATATTTTATTTCGAATATTACCAAGAATGTATTTGTAGAACGGGTGTGAAGAGTATCACTTGATCGAAGTGTTACAATCCGATACGACTTCGAACGAAATGATACTTTAAATAAATTTATTTTATTTTACTAATTAAATCTCTTATGATTCAATGTGTTTTTATATAGCAATTTAATTTATGCAAAGGTCGATAGTCAATTTATATTCGATTTGTATATTTTAAATCAATGAGGATGAAATATTCTTTAACAAATGAGAAATAGTTGAAATAGCATTCCCGACGGAGGATTGCAAATTTTAATATATTTCTTACCATGTTAAAGGATTTTCTGTAAATAATTAACTCAAAGTAAATTAATTACATTTCAATAAACGGATCATATTTTAACTTTATATTCGATTTGTAATTTCCACCATTTACGACAACATGTAAGCGATTCAGTATCAATTTTGGGCGTTGTGGGGGTGATTACCCTTCCCCAAATGTAACGGACTCTCGAATCCATTAAATCGAATCTTTGGTAAACCCATACTATTTTTATCTTAAAAAATGATTTTTCTTAAAATTGATTTTTAAAAGACGTTTTTAGGTATTCGACCTACCTAATCTAAAGGTCGATGGTGACTCCGATCCAATTTAATCCAAATCAATGCAAAATCACCAATTTTTCAAATAAAAGTCATAATTATTTTTTAAAATAATATTTAATTGTTTTAGGAAAAAATGGTTATGACATAAATATTAATATTTGAATATTAATTATTCAAATTTAATATATTTTAAAATAATATATTGATATATTAAATGTGATATTTATATTATAGAAAAATCGAAGATACTTCGTTGAAATTGGGTGGAAGAAAAGAAAGAAAGTTCCATTCTTTCTTCTTCCTCACGTTGGGAAGGGAGAGGAGTAGAGAAATTTCAGATCTTTTCTTTCTTTTATTAATTATATTATTATCATTCATCATTTAAATCACGGTGTAATTTTCAGAAGGAAGAAAAAAATCTATCAACTCTGGGTTAATTGTACTACGAGGGTTCCAACTTTTATTTCATTTTACAAAGACTTTAGTGTTTTTAAATTATTCAATTTAATAATTATTTAAGATTTTAGACATTACATTTAACTTCAAGCAAGAGATTTGGGGTGTATTTTGATTTGATTGTGCGTTCGGGCATGTTTAATGGTGGGAGGTGCTGGGTTTGATGGATGGGGTTTCCGTTTGGGTAAAAAAAATTGAAACATAATTTAAATTTCGATATATAAAACATTATTAAAATTTTAAATATTAATATTTTAAAGAATTTTTAAAATTATATTTGATTTGGATATCCGAATATGAAAATATTTTCTAAGAGTTGAAATTTACCTTGTACTTTCGTGAAAAATTGAATCATATACTGGAAACAATTTTGAAACAATTTTTTTAAGGGTTTCAAACTTCAATTGAGTCAAAAATTCATTTTAAACAAGTAGTACCGATACTACAAGAACAATATTGATACTATTCATGGAGTACCGATGCATATCGATGCTAAGGCCTTAAAAATTCATTCTACTACCGATATTGCTAAAGACAATATTGATACTCCCTTTGATTTTACAGAAACAATAGCAAATTTGATATCGATACCATGTCAGTACCCACACTATTTATAACTGTAATACCGATACTCCAAATTACAGTATCAATACTACCCTTTTGTTTTTTAAAATAATAAATTTCAATACTTTTTTTTGTACCGGTACTCTTCCAGTATCGATACTACTTATAACAATAATATCTATACTCCCTTGATTATTACCTATACTCCTATTTTTTCAACGATTATATTTTGTTATTAATGCGTGTAGTACTGATAATCCAAGACTTATTACTGGTACTAGAAGCTTCTGGGCAATATTTATTGCAGTAAAACTTCTCCCAATGTTAACTCCCACAACTACCAAAACAATTAGAATTGAATGATAAAGTATAAAACAAGAATTCAAGTTATATGTGAAGACCAGGAATAAACAAGAAAGCTAGAGCAATAAAATAGAGCCAAAACTTGAAGTCAATTCTCAAATTTTCTTTTTGCTTTTATAGGACACTTGTGTACGTTCTTTGTATTTGTTGTTTTAAGTGTTTTTATTTTTCTAGAATTATGTAAACACATCTTTAGTGAGATTTTTTATTATAAGTTTGTAATTTGTATTTTTTTAATAGAGTCTTTTAAGAATTTGGGGTATAACTTTTGAGTGAGTTATAAAATTACACTTTATCCTCAAATATTACTACAAAATGGTGAATTTACGAAAATCTTTAGGGTGAGCAACTAACTTAATGAATTTAGACTTAATTGTAAAATCGAACCAATAAAAATTATTGTGTTCATCCTTTTAATTATTTTCTTAAGTTTCCAAAAAAAATTTAAATTACCAATTTGCCCCTCTTAGCTATTTTATCTATTCGATTTACTCAAGGAAAGATGACGATAGGATATGGGACAGAGAACGTAGGTTTGACAGATAAATTAAGGGAGATATTAACTTGGGTCATTCGAGTCTAGTCCTAGTAAGTTAGTTTTGGACTTAAATTTGGGCTTCCTCATAGGTTTAAAGGTATATTGGGTTTGATTTTATCATCAAGTGAATTCAATAGTAAAAGAGAATAATATTCTTGCTAGAAGATCTCTGTTCAAACAATTATATATGTAAGATTTATTTGTATTCTCATTTAATTAAGAAAATTCTGAATAGATATCATCTTATAGTTACCATATACCAATAAAAAATTGAGTTTGAGTGTTTTTATTTAATTTTTAATATATATTTTATATATAATCATGAAAAAGGAAAAAACTTAAATTTAGTTTTTAAATATAAACATTTTAAATTCATCTTTTTATTTTAATATTGTACTAATTGGAGTTTAATATATATAATATTCAATTATTAATCAAATAGTATATTTTGTTTTAGTGATTTATATGTTTAAAAGTTCTATGTTTAACATTGGTTCGAATCTCACCTGTCATCATCTGATTAGAAAAATTAAATTTATTAAATTAAAATTAGGATTATGTATAAAGAGATGAAAAATGTAATTATATCGATTTTATTAGTTATCAAACTAAAATCCCCCATAATTTAGTAGTCATGAGTGTAATTTATCCTTTTCATTATTCACATAAAATAAATAAAAAGGAAAAAAACGGTGGGCTTGACTGAGTTGACCAATCGTCGATCTACCATCATGTTCCTTCCCATGTCAAAGCCAGGCTGCAAAAAAAAACGTTTATATTTTATTATTAATAATAATAAATATAAATAAAATCCATACGAACTAAAATCAAGATGTTGGCGCTTTTCCGGTTTCCGTATCAGGTTCGCTCTCGCTTCTCCCTTTTCCCAGAATTCACCTTTTATTTTTATATATTTTATTTTTGCGACTTTGATTTTGATTCTCCCATTAAATTTACATACAAATATTTGAAGATCGTTATATATATATATATATATATATATATATATTCAATCAAATCTGGTTGATCTACTTAGCTTCTTCTTCTGGCTAAACATAAATTACTTGTTCTTCTGTAATTAGCATTTAAAGATATAAAACTTTGTATTCATCGTTTAGTATTCCTTCTATATTTGCTTCAGTTGTCTTTTTGTAGTGGTGCTATTTTTTTGTTAAAATTTTTGTCTACTTTTGGATAATTTTCGGTACTTTTTGGTTTATTTGTTACTTTTACCAGGTATATTTTTATTGAAAAAGTGTATTTGCTTATCAAAGTTGATGACATTTTTGAAGAATTTAACGTTCAAAGTGTTTTCTTTTGCCTTTGGATTTTTATTTTTATGTAAAATTATTAAGTTGGATTTAATTTTGATTTGTAGTTATTTCTTATAAATTAAATTATGATTTTACTTTGTATGATTTGCTTTTTTTTTTTGTGTATGTGTGTTTGGGGGGGGGGACAAGTATAAAATAATTCAAAGTTAAGATGTTAACTAATGGCTGCAAAGTTGAGGTGAGTGAACTAAATTACTAGCTACTTTAGCACAAATTAAATTCTTCATCAGATCCTATTATTTGTGTAGTGGACTTACAAGTAGCAATGGAAGCTGCTGCTTTAAACTTCGTTAATGCTACTTTAAATTGGGTCACTTTGGCTTTGGATGCCCCCTCTGCACGAGCTGTAGTGTTTGGAGTCCATATAGGCGGTACCATCTCTAAGTCCAATTTACAAGATGCTATCTTTTCTCCACATTCGTGCTTTACATGTTTATTAACTTCAAATTTTTTGAGCTTTGATTGTAGGGCATTTATTCGTTGAGGTTCTTCTTTTGGTGGTCATTTTTTTTCTGCTTTCGCAAAAAAGTTACAAGCCTCCTAAGCGGCCATTAACTAAGAAGGTTTGTGCTGAAATTCAACTTTCATTTAATGTTGTTTACCCTGGACTAATACTGTCTCAAGTTTATTGGATGTTGATGTTATAATTATTAGAATTCATTAACATGTTATGTTTCTATTCAATAGTTCATATCCAGGATTTGACTCTTCTTGTATTTGGATTAGAATATTTAGGCTCTGCATGGTTGGTGCTTTTGCCTTTTGCATTTACCAATAGCATGCGAAAATTAAAAAAAGAAAAAAAAAATAAACTGTTCATAAGGGAAAAATAGTAAAATGCCAAAGCATCAAGAAAACATAGCCTTAATGATTCAAGATTTTTCTTTTTAGCTGGAGTCTTGTTTTTGCTGCCTTTTGCAAAACCTTACTGCTATCGAAGTTTATTTGATAGTTTTTCAACACACCTTTTTTTTTAATCTCATTTGATTAAGGACTATATTTAAAGGTCTAACAGTGGCAAGCCATTATTTACTCCTTAAACATGTGTAATCTGCATTTCAGTTTCACTTATTTTTGTTCTTCTTTCTTGAATCAAATTGTTCTTACATTCTGCCATAGAATTATCTGATCAAATAACGAATTTCTAAGCTTGCATGTTGTTTCAATCATCATACTATTATCACAAGGCTAGCCATATATACTCTTATAATTTTATGTCTGGGCTAAAATTTTCTACTGATGCGTTTGATAAGGTGTTGAACCAAGTGCGCTGTCTATTGATGTATTTTACATCTATAATAACTTAATTAAATGATGCATTTGTGTCATATTTTAGCCTTGTATTATACTATGATTGATATGCTTTCTGCATTCTTCTTGTGTCAATTTACAATACCATTTATTTTCATGTTGATGATATTGTGTCAGCCTAACAATCTGAGAATCCTCTGGAATGTCTATAGGAAATAGATGAGCTCTGTGATGAATGGGTCCCGGAATCTCTTATTCCTCCTATTACAGAAGAGATGCAGAGTGAACCCCCGGTGCTGGAAAGGTGAATATGATTTTCGTTTTTGCATAATATGAATTGCATTCAACTCTTCAAAAATTATGATTCCTCTTACATGTATTCCTTTCATCCTCAATTTTGAAGATCTGGGAGATTATTAATTTCAGTGAAATACGGTTTTCATTTTTTGTTCTCTCCCAATCTGAATGGCCATATCTCCAATGTGGCTTTTACCATTTCTATCCTTAGCAGAGTTGGCAAGGTTGAGACCCTGGGATTCATTATGTCGCAGGTTTGAGACCCCACCCTGTATAAACCATTTGTGGGTTCTCTAGAGTTTGAGTTAGTTAGTGTTGCCTTGGTTGTGTTTGTTATTCAGTTCAGTACTTGTAATAATTGATTCTGATATATATTATAACTGTTGATATTGTAGAAAGTTGTAATTTCAAGGGGAAAAAAAGCTTTTCGTAGGTAAACTAGCTTATGAGTCACCTTTTATACAGTGCTGCAGGGCCTCATGCTATAGTCAACGGAAAAGAAGTTGTGAACTTTGCTTCTGCAAATTATCTTGGATTTGTAGGGCATGAAAAGCTGCTTGTGAGTAATCTTTTGTTGTAATTTACTTCTCTTTTCTTAGAAGATTATGGAACAGATAACAAACTGGAAAAAACCTATAGCTAGATGGCAGAATTAAATCCTTTCCAAATTTTCCTCAAAACATATACTTCCCTCTATATATTTCCTCAGAATTTACCTAAACCAAATTGTGTTTATGAAGAGTTTGAGGTATTATTTTAAAAATTGCTTCTCAAGAAGTGTATATTTTCTATAAAAAAGCCTTGGGGTTAAGTAGACAATGCTTTTAAGATTTTTTTTTTTAAACTAAGCTATGAAGTAAATCTGTTATTTCAGGATTCTTGTACCTTTGCACTGGAGAAATATGGTGTCGGTTCTTGTGGTCCTCGTGGATTCTATGGAACAATTGGTAAGCATCAATTCTGGAGCTACCTAACTGGCATACTTTCAGAGGTTTCTTTATGAATCTTCTATAGGAACCACATTCAGACTCTGACAAACTTACATTGTTCAGATGTCCACCTTGATTGTGAGGCCAGAATAGCAAACTTTTTGGGAACGACTGATTCCATCCTCTATTCTTATGGGCTTTCCACCATGTTCAGTGCAATCCCATGTTTTTGTAAAAAAGGCGACATAATTGTTGTGTAAGTACAAGACTTTTCATTGCTTTAAATGGTTTCATATGTCTACTGGCTAGAGCTTGACGTGGCAAGTTATGGTATGAGCAGAATCTTTCTCCTTACATTTTAAGCTTCCACACTGTCAATGTTTGCATCAAAAGTTAAAATTGATTTATTAACGAACTTGGAATTCCTAAGCAAGGAAAATAGACATTTTTTCTTGTGTCCTACTGCGGCTTTTTTTATGAATAACAACTTTTTGTCATATTAATTGATGGTTTTCACAAACTGAATTAGAATTTGTTTTGCAGTGAGCCTGCTGCTGTTTTCCATGTTTTAAAACTAAACTAATTTATTTAAATTTGGATTGTATAAGTATTTTAAAATTGTTACTAGTTCAAACTTTGTGAATTTTAATCTCATCTTTGAATGCATCCTCTTGCATGTGCTTACACACATGTTCTTTATGTTATCTTCTGTTCAATGCTCTGATTGGCATAGTTTTGAGTCATGATGTTCAATATAACTATATAAGACAGAAGTTAGAATATTTTGTGAAATGTTCTTTTGTTTATACTGTTGGCCCTTTTAATTTGGTTAAAAATGTTAAAAGGATAGACTATCATGTCGATTTTTCTTTTAAGTTCTCACTAAATATTCTTTAACTGTTAACTTTGATAATTTTTTATCTTTTAAGGTAGAAGGTCCATATTTATCTCTTGTCTCCTAGCATATGCACTTTACCACTATATTTGGTTAAAAAATGGAAAGAAGTTAAAATCTTCTATAATATGTTCCCTTTCTTTATACTATTGATCATTCTAATTTGGTTACTGATAATGGTAAACTAGACAAGCTTTCACTGTTCGTTTAAGGCTAGCAAGATGGTTTCTAGCAAAATATCCTCTTTCCTATATTAAGGTGGATTCTTTAATTGGTGATCCTTCCTTGGCAGATAGTATCTCTGCTTCTAAGGAACTACTCAGATCTGGGTGTTGGTGGATTCCTCCTCCAGTAGATTTTTTTAAATTGAATGTGGATGGGGCTTTTAGTAGAGTTGGGAGAGTTGCTGGAATAGGGGGTCTTCTCAGGGATTGGAATCGGGTTACACTTATCTCTTTTTCAGAAAATGTTGGTCCTTCTCATCCCTATTTAGCATAATTGAAAGCTGTAAAAAGAGGCATTTATATCTTTGTTTCTTCAGAATGGTTGTTCAAGGGCAGACTCATTATTGAATGTGATTGCAAGCTTGTCGTGGATTGGATCAAAGATCAAACTTTGGTTCCTCTTTCCCTTTCAAATTTTGTTAAGGAAATTGTATCTATTGTTTCTTTTAGAAATTTTATTGTCAGGTGGATTCCAAGGTCTTGTAATTGCGAGGCTGACAAGCTAGCAAAAGAGGGGATCGGGTGATTATTTTGTTTGTTTCAGTTGGTGTCTGTTTCTGAGCTTAGAAGCTAGAGGAGTGTGTGAGGTCTTATGTTGTATGTAAAAGTGTTTTTAAGTCTTATGTAACTTGGCTTTCATTAATAAATTGAGGTACTCTTTTCCTCCTTACGTTAGTTGGGCCTTACCTTACGGGTAAGGTCCACTAAGGGGGAGGTTTTTAATGAGACCTCCTATTCCTATCAAAAAAAAAAAATTGGTTACTGATGTTAAAATCTTAGAATATTGTGAGTTATTCTTTTAATTTCTCACTAAATATTCTTCAACCGTTAACAATTCACCATTTTTGAACCAAATTAAAAACTAGTCCTAAATTTAATCTATCACCTTGACTAGAATGTAAACTTGGACCTTGTCCCTTATATTAATTAGTTTCCTTCCATTATAAAGTGGTGGTTTTTTATTTCCTTTGAAAACCAACTAGAAGAGGGGGTGTTGTTGTTGGGTTTTTTTTTATCGGAATGTTGAGAGTTTTTCCGAGAATCCCTTATGGTTGTTTCTCTTTTTTCATTTTTGGGCAAATTTTTGTAAATGTTTATACTGCAGTTTTGTTTGAAAGTTCATATATGGATAGCCTCAGAGAGAGCTTGGTACCATATATGCATGAATAATGCTTAGACAGAGGATCATTTTTTGCTTTATTATTTGGTTGCCTGGAAGTTGTGGTATTAATATCATCTATTTTTGGTGTGTTGTATGTTGATTTCTGGTTGTTGTTTGCTTGGAAAGGAGTTTTGGAGAAAATCATATGAAGATTGAAGTTTAGTTCCTTTTGTTTTATTTTTATATTTACTTGTATTCAGAGGTCTAAATTGTTTTTTTGAGTTGTTTGTTCCATCCTTAATTTTTTTTTTTAGGGACTACATATGATGTTTGTAACCTTTCTAGGACTTGGATTTTCTATTTTCATGATTTCCTTGCATTAGCATAATTTTATCTTTTCTTTTGATATTTTTATTTAGAAATGTTCTGGTGTGGGGTTCTATCTCATTATTGTCTATTATGTTTGTGTGTGGTTATCTAGGGATGAGGGAGTCCATTGGGGAATACAAAATGGTATGTACCTCTCTAGAAGCACCATTGTATATTTTAAGCACAATGATATGGAATCTCTAGAAAAGACTCTAGAGAAAATTACTTCTAAGAATCAGCGAGCTAAGAAATTGAGGCGCTACATTGTGGTTGAAGCTGTGTATCAGGTATGTTATTTCGGTTGTATGTATAAGCTTTAATGATTTGTTTTTCTGGTCAGTCCCTCAGTGTCAAATTTATAGCAGTCTGTAAGATTGACATATACAGTGTCAAATTTATAGCAGTCTGTCTCAAATGACTTCTCATGAGTTATTGGTATAGTAAATAAGTCTAGTGGTATTTGGAAGTTGGAAGAACATTCACTCATGTTCCTCTTCAGTAAACAACAATGATACACTTTACCTCTGAAATGGTCAAATTTTATATGGTGGCAGCATTAGAGTAGTTTGGACTATCTCTAAAATGTTTCTGACAATAAACATGTGTAGTGCTAGTCTGCATTGTTTATTTTCATGTGATTGTGGTGTACTTTGAACATTCGTTTCCCACATAGTCTTCCTTACATAATTACAAATCCTTCACAAAATTCTCATTTGAACAATTTCATCTTTTGTTTTGGTATACCAAATTCTGAACAAAATAGGATATTGCTCGAGAGTGCTTCCCTAAATTATTAGTGATGTGAAGAATTTGCTTAACAATATTTCTTATGCTTACATCCTTGCAAAAAGAAAACCTAGTCCTTGATCCTCTTATGGAGTCATTTGCACGTAGTCATCTTTATTATGAAGTTTCCTTTCCTGTTAAGGATTACTTTAGCTGTCAACATTTTCTGCTATTGAATTCATGGAAATTGACATTCTGTGTGAAAGATGAATCAATTAAAGGGGATGTTTTAGTTTCATGTTTCAGTTTTATAGTCATAAACCATTTTCTCACTAGAGGTTCATTATTTGCCTAAACAATCAATAGCAATAACCTGTTTTGCTGTGGCAATGGTTTACTTTTATGTGTTGGGTTGATTATTTTCCTTCAATAAAATTGCTGGGAAGCCATAATCTTTAATTATAGAAGTTTGAGTGTTTGCTTTCTTATTCTTCACTTAACCTTTAGTGTCCTTTTTTCTTCATGGCTTCATGCCACATGTACATACACTTATCATAAAATTATTAACTCCTAAGGAAGTTTCTTTTTCCCTGATTGGGAGCTCCTTAGCTGCCAAATTTGGCAACTGTTGATGTATTTGAAATTGTGGTTCTATGAAATTAAGAAAGATTTGAAGGTTGGGAGAAAAGAAAGAAGAAGAAAAAAAGGAAAAGAGAGATTTGTTTATGAATAATTCAGCTTGTTTGACTCAAAAGCTAAAGTTTGATTTTATACTATCAATTGTGTATCCAAATATAGAAAGATGAATATTACGGTGAATACATACGATTAAGTGAATCCTTAATATCTTGCTAAACTAATTCATAATATTTTGTATGTCACAACAACACATGAGAACACCTCATCACGTCTCACTTTTGTAGTTATAGAATGGTTTTCTCACATGATTAGTAATTGCATAACTTCATTAAGCCATGGCCATTTTTTCTGTTGCAATGACTTATTTGTTTTTCAGTTGGCTATTTCCCTTAATAGAATTGCTGAAAAGCAGCGATCTTCAATCTATAGAAAAGTTACTTAACATGTTCAAGGTATAAGAACAGTTATATATTTTGTTAATTGTTATCTTGACACGCATCTACTTTGTCACACCTGTCTTAAGGAAAGTTTGCAAAAAGACTTTAGTTTATAGGAAGACACTTGGGACCAACCTTGTGAGGCTTCTTTTGAGGGAAAACCTATAAGAGCCAATGTGATAGGGAATCATTGGGGCTTGGGTTATAGCTGTTAGCATCTTAGTAGATGCACTTGCATCAAAAGGGGTCTAATTTTGTGGTACCTTTTAATGGTTGGTTCAAGTCTTTAGAATTCTTTCTTTCATAAATTTAATATTTCACTTGCTGTGTAGCTAAGACTTATGGTTAAATGTGCAGAATTCTGGTCAAATAGCTCCTTTGGACAAGATCATCAAACTGAAAGAGAAGTATCGCTTCCGTGTTTTATTGGATGAGAGTAACTCAATTGGTGTACTTGGCTATTCAGGAAGGGGACTCGCTGAATACTGCAGGGTTCCGGTCTGTTCATAACTTTTCTAGTTACATTTATGCTTTTGCTTTCACTTGGTGATTAATAGTTATATGTATCTCAGATAGAGAAGATAGACATTGTTACTGCTTCTATGGGGCATGCATTGGCGACCGAAGGAGGATTTTGCACTGGAAGTGCTAGAGTCATTGATCATCAAGTACGTAGATTTTACACTATAAACTAGTATTATTGAACGTGAACAGACACCCTCATTCTCTTTTAAAAGGCTAATTTTAGTTATCTTTGTCAGCGTTTGAGCAGTTCTGGATACGTCTTTTCTGCATCCTTGCCCCCATATTTGGCTAGTGCTGCAATTACTGCTATTGATGTCCTAGAGAAAAATCCTGATTTGACATCAAAGCTGAAGGAAAACATTGCAATTTTGTGGAAAGGTTAGTTTTGAACAAATTTTTATACGGTTGTAAGAGTTTCCTTTGTTTCTGTGACGATGTGTTCTTGTTTCAACCAGTCAATGCTATATGGCCAATAACTGTCTGCTAAAAGCTAATTTAAAAACAAAATATGACATGAAGACGTACTAATTTTCTCCTAAAGCTATATGGAGGCAGGGATGGACTGCCCCCTCCCTCTGAAAATTTTAAATTATCATATATTTTAGATTTTTTCTTTGTATTTTCTATTGATAATCTGTTTCTGTTCCTCTAGAATTTTATAAATTTTTTCCCTTCTAAAATTTTAGAAGTTCACCCTCTTAACATAAAATCCTGCGTCTATTCCTTTGTAAGTCTTAGCGCCTAGAGTTCTTCTGGCACCTTGAGCAAAATACAAATGCCAAAAAGTATCAAGCAAATGGGCTTTTAGTGTCTTCGTACTTAATTATGTAACTCAACAAAATCAGATTGGAAAATGCTTTGGTCATTTTCTTTTTGGGGTATTAGATAAAAAATGTAATTTTTTCCCTATAAAAATCGAGCATTTTCAGTACTTGAAAATTCCTAATATTTTCTCATCAACTTATCCAACATCAGAAGCACCTCTGTAATTTACTTGAAGGAATGGTCGTTTAAAATGTTCTAAATTTTGTGAGAATCAAACATTTTGTAGTAGAAGTCTTCCTTCGGCGGTAGATAATAGCAGATAGTGCCCAGAACTTAGAACACAAACATGATTTTTGTGATTGTTGTGCAACTGATCAAACCATTTCTGGTTCTGAACTTATTGCAATTACAGGACTCTCTGATGTGCAAGGGCTGTCACTAGCGAGCCATCCAGAATCACCCATTGTTTTCCTTAGACTCGAAAAATCAATGGGTTCAATGAAAGGTGACCTCCAGCTCCTAGAAGACCTTGCTAATCATGTAAGTGAACCGCCGACTTTGCTTCATCGTTATAGAGTCCTCTATGTTTGATGCTTGTATTTGAGTTCCATCACCCGTGTGATTCGAATAACTTACAAATTACAGGCATTGAAAGAAGAGTCCGTATTTGTAGTGGTTTCAAAAAGATCAACTCTGGATAAATGCCCACTACCTGTGGGAATTAAGATGTTTGTTTCAGCTGCCCACTCAGAATCTGACCTGCTCAAGGCATGCTCTTCATTGAAGAAAGTTACATCTGTGGTGCTCAAGGATCATATTCGTCCATGATTACTTCCTGGGTATGTCTAATCATTCTTGGAAGGTTTTCTCATGGAATCCTTTTCTTTCCTTAAGAATTTTCAGTTTATAAGAAAAAATATATATTCTTATGTGCAACTATAATTTAATTAGAGATAGAGCTTAGTTTGATATTTTCCCCCAATCTGTTTTAACTGTTGTAGTGTTAATGATAAAATTATCTTGGTTAAATTATACCACTAGTCATCAAACTATTATATTTTTCACTTTAGTTATCAATCTATTTTTTTTTTTTTTGAAAAAGAATTAATGACAATGTTTACATATTTTTGTCTTTTTGTTTTTTTTTTTTTTTTGATATTATTAGTCACTATCTTATTAGTGGAATTCATTTTGTTGCATTGAGTGGAATTGTACACAGGATCCTTTACATAAGAGTTTAGTATTTAGCCATTAAGTTAAGAAGTTAGATAAAATTTATCAAAATTTGTATTTAAGTTAAATTATATCATTAATTCAAAATCATATTAAAATGATACTAGAGTGAATCGAACATGGGACAACGGGAAAGTAATCCAATTAGAAATTTTATGTATGCAGTTACGTATCCAAATATATACACACATATGAAAGAGAAAATGCATGGCCAACGAAGAACAAGAAATAAACATAGTTTTTTAGAGAGAAAAAACATACCTTTGTTGTTTATCATTGTGAATAATGCAAATAATGAGAGTGGATTATTTGTACAATTATGTATATGTATTTTTTTATTGAAGTGGGTAGTTATGTGATAATTTTACCTTTTTATTATTCTTATAAAAGGTATGGTCTATTTTCATTATTTATTTGTGCACGTAATTTGATGATTATATTCTTTTTTGGAAAAAAAATTCGTTGAAGAGAGTAACATAAACAAGTTTTGATTTACTTCGGATATGCAGAGTTTAAAAGTTTATGTTGATCTTAGAGACACGTCTGTTATAATGATTATATCAATTCATATGAAAATATTTCTAAAACAATTATTTTTATCATAAGAAATTGTTTTATTTTATTTATTATTTTATTAATCAATGCTAACAATATTATTTTACAATAATATTATTTTTTTCTATCATTGTTTATATCATCAAGATACTCAACTCAACAGGAACTGAAGTTTTAGTGTAAGGTAAATCTCCAGCATATCATGTCAACAAAATTCATGATAAGAACATAGGTTAAAACAATTAGAGGTAGTCATTGAACTACTACTGGTCCAACAATTCTTTGTACTGCACGGTAACTTTTTTTTAATCTTCCAAGTGTAATAGGATGCCATAATGCTTTGAGTAGCAATGCTCTGGTTTTTAGAATTTGTGCCTCTTCTTGAAGGCCACCAATGCTTTGTTCATCACTGTTGTTGTTTCTTCCTTTTCTGCTGAGAATTTCTTGAAGATTGTTAACCAAATAAGCCACTTTTGTTTGAATTACTTAATCATACATAGCATTACATAAGGGAAAAACGAACTTTTTTACTAGAGGAGAAGAGAAGTTTTCGTTTTCCTTTGTCAGTGTAACAATTAGTATGATTACCCATGTCCTTATTGGAGTCTTCCACAATGCCTTCTGCTTGCCATTTTTTAGTTTTTGTCCCAGGGCAACCACATCCAATTGCTTCATCTACCAATGCACCATACATTCAAATGGAACTTGTTGCAGTCAGTTTTTTATTTCAAATTTAACGGACTACAGCAAGTTCTATTTAAAGATGTGACTGATGCATCGGTAGATGAAGTGATCGATTCCCTATTGGATGCGGTTGAAATGGTTCCTTCTGGCACGAAAACTAAAAACATCACATGCTTAAAGCATTGTAGATGTTTCTTCTTTTGTTCTTCTCTAGTAAAAAAGTTCATTTTTAGACATGATAATATTGTGATTCAGGTTGAAGTGAACTTGTAATTTCTTTACACATGCACATGCACTTGCACTTGCACTTGCCGAAGAAGCATGTTCAGCTATCCGATCAATTAGCATCATCGTCTTCTAACCAAGTTTTCTTCACTTTTTCTAAGACTTTTTGCTCTGGAACAACAGCAACAACTCTCCAAATGCACAAACCATGCTGCTGCCTTGCCATAAGCATTGAAATCAAAACACTTTTTTCCTCGCACTTCTAATAATATATAAGAAAAATCCTCACCGAGATGGTGAGCAGCCACATAACTCTATGCCCCCAAACACACAAGGGAACAAAAAAAAAATCTCCCTTTACTACTACTTCTTGTTAAGGAGGTTGGCAAGGTTCCGGAGTTCCTCAAACGCAAGCATAGTTTCGGAGTTGAATCCTCCTGCAAACTGCACCCATACAACCACCACAAGGTCACTACTCTAGTCCTTTTAAACCCATCCATTCATATACCTACCCTAAAACATTATCTACTAATCGTACAACGAAGAACGAACCTGGTGTATTCTGAAAACAAATCTAACTCCTTGGAGGAGCATATAGTCCATCGACAGATCCTTTTCCAGACTTGCCTTGGAATGCAGTTCCATGGCTACCCCTTTACTACTACTTTTTGTTAAGGAGGTTGGCAAGGTTCCGGAGTTCCTCAAACGCATGCATAGTTTCAGAGTTGAATCCTCCTGCGAACTGCACCCATACAACCACCACAAGGGTCACTCTAGTCCTTTTAAACCCATCCATTCATATACCCACCCTAAAACATTATCTACTAATCGTACAACGACGGAACCTTTTCCAGAGTTGCCTTGGACTGCAGTTCCATGGCTACCCTTTTCATGTGCCTCTTCGCCAGTTTCAGCTATCCAAGCTTAATCTGCAGTGAACAGAACACTCATTAAGCCTTCTATCCTAGTCTATTGAGATGATGATTATACATAGAAGCATATAAAAGTTGTATGAAGGCATGTCCAGTTTGGTTGTTTTTCGATTAATAAAGTAAAACTCGAAGTACCTTGCTTATAATCCCATTGTCTAGCATCCAGTCTGTGGGAATTTGGAATTCCCTGCAGTTGCGCATCAACGACTCTATTGTACGTAGGAGGTTATAAACAGTACATTCCGTCCTGGGAATACTTAGTTCAGAAGAATTTTTCAGAGGTTTTCAGCTTTAATGATTTGGAGAAATGGGAAAAATGTTCAGTATTCTTTCTCAGACAAGGCAACCAGGCACTCTGGAATCATCCTTGTAGTATAATACCTCAGACTCCAATTTCTTGAGATCTCGGTGTGTTGGCTTTTTTCTCAGTCCAAGCAAAGTTCTTCAAAACTGCCCTTTCATCAACCTTCAAAAGATTTTTAGATTTTTCGAAAACCATAGCAGAGTTAGAACACTGCATGAATTCCAGTTAATTTTAATACATCATTTCAATGATGAGCGTGCAATATATCATTTTAAGCATACTATATATAATCATTACTAGCAACACTCAAAAACTGGCTAAATCATATGTTACTTAGACTCAAGTGTAAGTTCCGTCGTGTATGTATCCCGGTATGATGATTTTCGTTTTTCATTTATGTATCGAAAATGATGAATAAGAGCAACACAGTTATGCATAGTTCACATGTACCATACAAGATAGACAATCACTAAAACTTTAATAATCAGCAACTTACTAGATAGCAAAGCTCATCATCAAGGCATTTCACAAACGCTACAACATCTTCGATGTTCTGATAAATTGCATTATTTACTTCTCTTATCAACGAATTCACGAATTCTCCTTGAGTTTCAACATCCGCCTTTATCTGCATAAACAATGAACCAAAAATGTCTAGAACTAAGTTTGATATTTTATAATAAGATGCTCATACAAATGTTGAGTTTCAGTGAACTAGACAAGCACTTACAGCCAGCAAATGTGATGATCTATTCTCGATTTCACCGATCATGCCGCTACGAACATTAGCAACGTCAGGCACATCACATATCCCTCCATTTGTGGAATCATTTCTAGAACCCCTTTTCATGAGTGTGATAAAACTCGACTACTTGAGGAGCACGTTTCACGACACCAGCACTAATTCTCACTGAAAACTTTGGAGGGGGCGGTGGTGGAATTTGTGTACAACTTTCATCTTTAGGTCCAAATGGAATGGAACAGGAAGGTCTGGGAGGAGGATTAGGAATCCTCAAAGCCCTTTTCTCAAAATCCAAGGAAGCTGAAGGAGCAACAGCAGCAGGCTTTTGAGAAGTTAATGGCTCAGCCTCCATTTCTTTGGTAAACATAAAACCATCAGATTGTCTTTTCTATTAGGTATTAACGCTTGTATGTAACATTTTGATCCACTTATAGAATGTCTTCTTCCAGAGCTTCTGAGCTCCTCTATATGCACCCATTCCTTGTCCACTACATTTTCTGCATACTCTGTACTTGAAAATTCTTGGCTAGTTATAGACCATTTCTTCATCTTTTTGATAAAATTGTGTTCTGAGCTCTTACTGCTTGCTGAATTCGGTGAGCCGACATACTCAACCTTGCTTTGAACTGGACTTATGGGCTTATCGGAATTCGTCGTCGAGTACGAATTCCGTAGTTCATCTCGTAAACATGAATTAACCCACCTCAAGTATGCAAGCTTCTCGACTTCATTCAATCGGCTCATTTGCAGACCTTCCACTTGTTTGCTCAGGTTTTCATTTGTATGTCTTAACATTGATGACTTTAGCTTTTGCAGCAACATCACTCTGATCCAACCAAGATATGGAAAACAGAAGGAAAATAGAAAAAGCAGTTAGTTGATGCAAAAAGAGTCAATAATCTTCTTGATTCATCAACTAAAAAGGAAAAAAATAGAGTTACCCGCTACACCCGCGAAATAGCGGTTTCGCCGCTGTCCGAGTTGTTCGCGACACCCACAATAGCGCCTAGTAGTGCCCGCGATAGCCACAATAACGCTCGCGATGGCCACAATCACGGTAAATCCGAAATGACCGAATACGCGATTTGAATCCCTAATCATATGTTCCCAAACTATAACTCTCATTTTAAATTGGCCCTTCAACTTTTGAATATTTCAATTTCATGCTTAAAGTAATTCTCTC